TTAACAAAAGAGGAAATCGATGAAAAGAATCGATCAATGCAGATAGCATCCTTTGAAATGTTTACCTAGAATTATTCAAAAATGAGGAAAGCATCAAAAATTGAGATTGTTTTTATTATTGTGGTATAGACCTTTTGTATGTACCTAGATTGATTTTAGAATAGGTCCTATCTCCATTTTTCCATCAAAGAATCGAATAAATTTATTCGTTTGCTACCGCAACCGCGATGGATTTGCAATAAATATTGCAATATTGACTCACGCAATCAAAAAACTCAAACCTTGAACTGTTGATTGCATGTATAAGTAATGCAAATCCGTCGCTCAGATCGCGGTAGAAAGCGAATAAAGTAAATCGATTATTTGATCGACAAATGAAGATCGGACCTATTCTAAAATCAATCGAGTTTAACTTCCAGCTGATCAAGTTGTCATCTCGGTTTTCATTGTCAAAGAAAATGCGCCGGTAATTAATATGCATGCGCACGGTACGAACACAAAATGCACAAGGCAGGAACAAAAAGCTTCACCCGTTTATCAATAGATTGCGCTCATGACAGTGTTGAAATGATTTTATTCGGGAAATGATTAAGTGAGCTCTCTATTATAATTATTTCTCTAAGGATCCACGAAAGCAGCGGCATCAGGATGCTAAAAAAGGTAAAAATGTCTTGCAAGAAAACCAAGACAAACGCAACGGAAAAGTTTCTGATTGTAAATCCTAAGTTTTCACCAGCGGAAGCCCAATCACGGCCCTCCAATTAATTGCAAATGCTCCCTTTGCTTGATCCTTCTTCTCGGGTGGCACGTTCCCATTCGTTTTCCACCTGCAGCGAGAGGGCCAATGCCCGTGTCAAGAACTAATTTTCGGACAAGTTACCCTGAACGGTATCCGCTGCTGATTAATATTCGATCTCTACAGTTGCGAAATGGTTATGGAACTCTACTACTGCTTCTGACGCAGCAAGTCAGTAGTATAACTGGCGGTCTTTTCATTGTCTTACTGTGATATCCGGAGCTCCAGGCTGCGGTCATTTTAGCTCCAATAATCCTCCCGCCGGTTGCGCTTTTTCTTTCAACAAACTACGGCGATTCCTTTGGTCGGTCTGTCATTTTCAACGTTATGTTATGGTTGAGGATATGGTTGCCAGTAAATTTATTTTTTCGTTTGAAGTTTTGACAACTCGGTCAATACGATGAAACACCCAAAAACACCTTCCGACACCCCAAAACACACATGAAACACAATAAGCACAAACACAAGGTGGCAGAGTGACTTACCCCCTGCTCACTACTTGACTAGCCTATTGGTCCCAAGCAAATCGATTAACGTATCCCATTCTTGTCAAAATTCTAGTACTACACAATGTTTGTTTTGATTCGCTATGAAAGTTTGACAGATAAAATGAGGGGTTATTGGATATTCCTATGTTTCGAAGGGTGAATCGATTAGCTTGGGACCGAAGATAGTACCAGAGCTAAGCCAAAAAGTTGAGCTCGTTTCTTCGGGACCTTCTGGTCTTAGAGTTACCTCTATGGTTTAATCATATCGAAGGATGAAAAATTAATACCTTCTTTCTAAAATATAATCATCTGATATTAAACCCAGTTTCATCTTGGTTGATTAGTTTGCAAATAATCCTTTTTGAATAAATTTTAATCATTTTGATTCTATTTTAATAATTTTTGATTGAATTTTAATCTTTTTTGGTTATATATTAATATTCAAAAAGAATAAAATTTAATACTGGAAAGATTCTTTCGAATTTAATCATGCATGACTGCTGTCGAAGTAATCATGGCTCGGACTCCATAAGGTGAAGCGGGAATCTGCATACTTTTTAAGCTTTTTTTTTTTATTTAATTTATCTTCGAGTGTATACACACACAAACAACGAAAATTGTATTAATGAAAATAATGAATTTTCGAATTAAAAGTTTACCAAATAGTTGTTTCAACCGAGGCTGGAGGAACGCACTAATCATTCGAAGTATTGCGGATGTTTTCGTTCAGTGTAAGTCTTTCAGGCACAGGGGTGCTTGTTTATAGTTATTTCGCTACCAACACCAACTTGCAAGTTCTACACTAAAGATGCCAGATTTGAAGACTGATATAAAATTTTGCAGATGTTAAATAAATTTCAACTAAAATTAAGTGCACTAATCATCATAATGAATTATCTTGATTAAATTTGTATAAACCATCATGATTAAATTTGTACAATTGAAAGTATTGATCAAGAATAATATCACCAATTACAGTATATTAACAAGAGTTTTAACATCTTTTAAAATTTTCACTTTAAAATTTTTGTGTTTAAGTACAATAAATATTAAATATAATATTAGTTATAAAGGGTGATACCATAGAGGTAACTCTAAGACCACTGGGTCCCGAAGAAAATCATTATTATTTTTGGCTCACTCAGTACCAGAACAACGGTCCCAAGCAGTCCCAAGCTATTTCACTCACCCCTGCATGTTCTGCATGAATCCACACACCCCTGATGTTATCTGTCAAACTTTCATAGCGAATCAAAACAAACATAGTGTAGTAATAGAATTTCAACTAGAATAGGGTACGTTAATCGTTTGATTGGGACCAATAGGCTACTAAAGTGGTGAGCCAATTTAAAATCGTTAGTTTCGTATTGATTGTTGGTGATACGGTCAAAATTTGGTCAATATCAACTTGACGTATTTCTTTCAATTTTGCATTTAAAAAACCTGAACACCCCTCATTTTGAAGGTGTGTGTGTGTAGAATGTTGCTCCTATTTTGATTTTGGAATTCACTCTTCAGTTGTCAAAATGCCGTCCAAGCAAGAAGAGCAGCGTATCAAAATTTTGCTCGCGCATCGCGAAAATCCGAGCTACTCGCACGCAAAGTTGGCAAAATCGCTAAAAGTTGCCAAATCAACCGTTACAAATGTAATTAAAGTGTTTGGGGAACGTTTGTTGACAGCCAGGAAGTCTGGATCGGGGGGAAATCGAAAACCGGAAGCCGCTGAGACGACAAAGAGAGTTGCCGGTAGTTTCAAGCGAAACCCTAACCTCTCTCTCCGAGATGCCGCAAATAAGCTGGCTGTATCGTCTACAACCGTGCATCGAGCCAAAAAACGAGCCGGACTATCGACTTACAACAAGGTAGTGACTCCAAATCGCGATGATAAACAAAATACGACGGCCAAAACGCGATCCCGGAGGCTGTACACGACGATGCTGACGAAGTTTGACTGCGTGGTAATGGACGACGAAACCTACGTCAAAGCCGACTACAAGCAGCTTCCGGGACAGGAGTTTTATACGGCAAAAGGAAGGGGAAAGGTAGCAGATGTTTTCAAGCACATGAAACTGTCAAAGTTCGCAAAGAAATATCTGGTTTGGCAAGCCATCTGTACCTGTGGCTTGAAAAGCAGCATTTTCATAGCTTCCGGGACTGTCAACCAAGAAATTTACGTGAAAGAGTGTTTGAATAAACGTCTGCTGCCTTTCCTGAAGAAACACGGTTTTTTTTTTTTTTTTTTTCCTTTGGTTTGTTTTCCGTCGATCTTGTTTTCCGTGCTGAGCACCAATGCTACCGACGCCAGGAAGGCAGCTCCCACACCTGGACCCTACATATCGACCCATCAACTTATGAACCGGGGACCAACGGCTTTACTTCCCTTCCGAAGGAAGGCGTGATCAGAGATGTTATGCCTCAGAACATCCCGGCGGCGCCGACTGGGATTGAACCCAGGCCTGCTGGGGTGAGAGGTAATCACGCTTACCACTACACCACCGGCGCCGTTAAAGAAACACGGTTGTTCCGTACTGTTTTGGCCGGATTTGGCATCTTGCCATTACGGTAAAAAGGCCATGGAGTGGTACGCCGCCAACAACGTGCAGGTGGTTCCCAAGGACAAGAACCCTCCCAACACGCCAGAGCTCCGCCCAATTGAGAAATACTGGGCTATTGTCAAGCGGAACCTAAAGAAGACCAAAAAAAAACTGCTAAGGGCGAGCAGCAGTTCAAGGCAAACTGGCTTTCTGCGGCGAAGAAGGTGGACAAGGTGGCTGTACAAAATCTGATGGCAGGGGTCAAGCGTAAGGCCCGGCAATTCGGATTTGGAAAAGCGGAAGCCTAACTGAATATTTTTCCTGAATTTTATACTAATTGAACTTGAAAAAGAAATTTAATTTGTTTTTTTAAATAAACGATTTCACCGATTTACACGCGTTTTCCCTTGACCAAATTTTGACCGTATCACCCTTTATAAAAAAAAATAACAACAAAAATAATGTCATAGAACCAATTTTTTTGAATGGTGAAAACTCGGGGGAAAACGTAAATACTGGCGCCCCTGTACTACACGCTATTCCAAAACTACCCAAATTTGGGTACAATCCACCCGGATCGGTCAAAACTGAACTACCCAAAAATGGGTAAACTGTGCTGGGAGTGACAAGTTGACAAATGAACAACGTCGATCGGATTCATGTCAATGTTGTTCATTTGTAAACTTGTCACTCCCAACACAGTTTACCCATTTTTGGGTAGGTTCAGTTTTGACCGATATGGGTGGATTCTACCCAAATTTGGGTAGTTTTGAAATAGCGTGTACACAAACGCTGCCCGCGCTCAATGAGTAAATTACCGAGGTAAACCAATCGATTGAGTTGTGTGAGTGAAACCCTTGTACGTTACAAGCAATTAGTGACGTCACTAATTGCGTTTACGTCGATTTTTTGGTTTACTAAACAACCATATTTCACGATCTGTGTCACCTCTCTCTGTTCTTATTGGCCCGCGGTGTGCTACCTAGATCGTGAAATATTGTTGTTTAGTAGGCCAAAAACAACGCAAACGCAATAAGTGACGTCACTAATTGCTTGCTTAACCGATTGCCTACCCTTAGTAATCGACACATTGCTGCCAGGCTACCACACCAATACTAATGCACACGTGATGTCGTCGCTGAATGCTGACTCTTGTCTTGTGGTTGGTGAGTGAAGAATGGCGTTGTTTAAGTGATTTTCTATGCGGAAGCACGAGGGTTCGGTTTTACGAAGTAAAGCTGTGAAAAAATAATTAAATTCATCAGAGGCCTCCGTGGTAAGCATAGTTCTGTAGTTTGTTGATAAATGTTGATCCATTAGTGCTGTAGTTTCGTGGAAATCCGGTAAAAATGCTACCGGTTAAATATCGATCCACGGCGCCATTTTTTTATTTCCTCCATGTTCTTTGTACCTACCTAGCTCATAAAATATTCTGGCATTTTTTTTTACCTAAATTTTCCGTTCTGCTCCGTTCAGCAAATGGAAGAATCAAACCTGAAATTGCTTTCGTCTTCCAGTGGTTCCGTTAGCAAAAGGGACCAACGTCTGGAGCGCAAAAAGCGAAAGCTTCTCGCCTTGGCCGAGGTGATGCAGTTGAACGAGCAAGACGGGACTAGTTCTACTGCTGCTGCTGGTGCTACTCTTTCCTCGGCCGATGTTAGCAGTTCAGTTTCGTCGACAGTGGAGAACGGTTGTCAGCAGGAACAGGAACCTGACCCGAAGAAAACAAAGTTGGAAGACGGTGATTATCGTGTGTTGAAAGCGGAGGTAAACCAACGACGTGACAGAATGCGGAATATCCCGAAACTTCGTTTGAAGGAGGTGGGGGAGGAAGCGCTAATGAAGACCAAGCCGGAGGAGCGCGTTCCGTTGTTGTTGGATGATATTCAGGCTCTCTTGATGTATACTTTGCTGCGGACCGATTCTCCAACAAATCCTAGTCGGTGGGCTGCTTTGGAAAAATCAGCCAAACTAACGCACACAACTGTACTGTTAATCGAAGGACTTACGTCGGATGATTTCATCGAATTCGAGAGCGATTTTAAGGAGTGCAAGAAGATATTCCACCACATACTGCAGGTGGTGGTACCGAGTGACCGGCTAGTTGATGAATTGGCATGCGTGCCACTGAGTGACACGCACAAGGATATTCTGTTGGCCGAGTACGGCTCCTTGGAAGCGGCTATGTTGGCCCGCAAGGACAATCTTCTGATCAAGAGAAGCATTTTCACTAACATCTGTTTCGATGTGGAGGACAGCGGTGGCGACTATGATGAAAACGATCTACCCCATGGCGATAAGTTTCCTCGGACGCAGTTGCTTCTATCACCCATTCAGATGATCAACGAAGATTATCCAATGCCATTGACGGGTAAGTTTGTTCTTGATTTGTTTTCATTTCATTTGATTCATATACACACAATGATGGCACCCCACACTGAAATGGCAGTCTGTAACAATCGATTGCTTCGTTGACGTTGCCACTTGAAAAATGTTTACTCTTCAATTTTACTTTCGAGAATCGAGATAAAGCGAGCGAACGCTACCCGCCATAAACCGTTGTTTCTCTTGTAGGTAGATTTTTTAGTAACGTCGAGTGATGCATTTTATGCTGACTGGCACGAGTTGTATTTTCTTTTTTGTTCACTGGAATCATGACTCATGCTTCTTCTTTGAAGAATACATTTGATTCATTTAATGGTTAACGGGCTGGTTTTGTATTTCGAAGCGAAGTGAATATCCCATACAAAATATCAAATTTTTCATCAGCGTGAGAAATGCATATTACAAACATTTCAGCTCTCGTGGTACTGTAAACTTGTACAGGTGTGTTCGATAAAATAGCAGCGCATGCTGATTTTCATACAAAATGGTCAACTTGTTACATTATGATCAATTGAGCTGAAACATTCGCCAAAGAACTACAAATATGTTCAACTTTACGATTACAAAATATTAAATTTGTGGAAGCATATGCCGGAAAGTGAGACACCAGGTAAAATTGTTCATAATACCACTACTAATAATTTTCATTTCAGCTTAATTTTAAGATTTTAAATTTTACATTTTTCAAAATTCTTACAATCCCCACCCAATTAACAAATGTACATAATAGTTAAAAATGTTTAAAATATTTGCAGCACGTAAATTTTCAAATAATAAACTGCTCTTATTTTGAACAATTTTACCTGGTGTCTCACTTTCCGGCAGGTGCTTCCACAAATTTAAAAATCGATTACAAATATGTAATCGTAAAATTGAACATATTTGCTGTTCTTTGGCGAACGTTTCAGCTCAATTTATCATAAGTTAACAAAGTTACATCATGTCAAAGTTGACCATTTTGTATGAAAATCGGAATGCGCTGCTATTTTATCGCATTTTATATTTTACCATTAGCCGAGTTAAATTTAACTCCTGGCTAAGTTAAAAGTGACATTTCGAAAGTTATTTTCTATGTTCGAAAATCCCTGTGCTGTCGATCGACCGGTTTTCGAGAAGAACTTAGCCTACGTTGTCAAAATTTAACTTCTTGTCTGTCAGAAGTAACCACGCTCGGATAACTTTCCATCTGTCAAATTTAACCAAAAGTTAAAATAATCCACCAAATGGTTCAGAGCCTTAGAGGTATGGAGAAGTTTCTAAAAGCTGTAGGAACTCAGCGGTGAGTACCTACAGCTACAGTTTTTTTTTTTTAAATTTCTGATATAACTAAGTAGAAGTGAAACTCCTGGGTTATTCCCAATGGCTGTGTACTAGGCAAGATCGAGTATTTTCGGCTTCTTGTAATAGGATCTTGACGCTTCTGTTGCGAGCGGTTTGCCGGCTCTCAACTCAGTGTTCTAGATGCACTTCCACAGTTATTAATTGAGAGCTTTCTATGCCAACCAATGTATGCATGTATTGTCACCTAACTGGTGAGATAGAGTCACGTGACTCGCAGAATAGGGGGACTCACAGTAGTCTGCGTAAGACAAAGCCAGCAGCATTAGATGTCCCTGATTTGTTATAAATAAGAATAGGTATCTCACACCTCTTGAAACCAGCGGCACGAAATAAGTGTGACTCTGTGCCAGTTTTTGCTCACTGTGCAATGTCAGAAATTCAACTGTTTGCGAGCAGAGAGCCTATACTGTTCCAGGAGTTGCTATTGTCAAATCTACGGTGAAGCTACGTCTTACCGTGGTGGTTAGGCAAGTTGGCGATCCGCCATTTAGCAGAACACAAAACGAGTTTTCAATCAGCGTGTTTATTTATTACGCTTCCTTTCCTGCATGCATCTGCTTCCGAGTCCCTTGTGGGGCGATATCCGTTCCAGTCTCCTCCAACTAAGACCTCTCCTTCGATGTCTGCAAGTGCTTCAAATAGACTCCTTATTTTCGGCAAAATCTCTCCGATTAGCGAGTGATCCGGGGGTAGGATGGAATCCTTGGACGATCTTTACTGCTTCTACTTCTATCGGCAGAAAATTACCTAAGTTTAGGACCTGGTATCCATAGTTCAAGTGGAGTAGGATTCCTACTCCTCCGTAACAGCTTGACCTTCTAGCTGATTCTAGGCAGAATCCCCTTAATCTGAAGTACTCCCCTTCCTTCACCCATATTAATAATTAAATAAATAAATAAATAAATAAATAAATTAAATTAATTATTAATTTTCCTGCAACAAACAAACATCGATGTTGTTTTCGTAATGGGCGAGTGCGGCTCTTGTTTCCATGGGTCTAATGCTTTAGATGTTGTGTTGCACCTGAGCGGCCGTTTTGTTCCACCATCTCTTCATCTCTGTCGCATCTCGAGTCACCTTTCCACTCTTCTTCAACTTCTGTTTGACAATATTTCTCAATTTTGCGGAATTAATCATGTCGTCCAACCATTTTACACAGAGATGGCGCTTTTCCGCTGGTAGGAAGTGATACAAATCCCCATATAGAGTTTGAGAGAAGTGGGAATAATTCGCTTCCGTGAAATTATTGTTAAACAAGCTACAATTTAATAAAAATGATTTTTTCCTCATACAGTTGTACCTGCTTTACTACCAGTACCCATAGAGCCAAAAAATTCAAATTTGAGAGAGAAAATTCTCTCTCACGAGCTCAATCTCTCAACATGCCATGCATTTTGATGACACTCGATTTGTGATTTCCCTTTCACAGATTACAAAATAGAGTACCTGTCACTACAAAACATGTCTGGTACCTCTATATATGCATTTAGTTTAACATTTGAAGTTCCTCCTTTTTTACATATTCTGCACAAAAGATACTTTCTGCCCCGCCCCATACATAAAAATCGGCGGAAAATTATGTGAGGGGTGAGCTATTTTGTGTGCAGAATGTGTAAAAAAGGAGGGACTTCGAATATTAATCTAAATGCATATAGGGTTAATTACCCCATTTTCGGCCTATTAAGCACAACCCGCACTTAGTCTTTCTTAATCTAGCGTAGTTTAGCACCAAACGGAATGTTATTATTGCTGATGGCTTCCAAACTTATTTACCTTTCCGTACGTACCGTATGATTTGCTAAAGAGAAACCAATCGTTGAGATATTGTCAAAAGTCTAACACTGCTTCTTGACGCCAAACTCGGCCTACGGATTCTAAACTCGGCCTAACGCATTAAAACGCCATTGAAACGCCAATGAATTCACTTCGGCCTATCGGATGAAGATAAAGATTGATTCGTTCGGAGCGCTTCATTTGTATTTGATAATATTGGGTGCGAACATTCATATCTCGTGTTCTTATTGACTTCGTTCGGTAGCATTTGATCTAAAGTATCGTACCAAACGCATTATTTACCTGTTAACGCTGAAATCATGGATTCATTTGATGTTTTCTGCTTGATAGGCCCAAAATGGGTGCTTAGGCCGAAGTAGTTCTCTACCCTATAGAGGTACCAGACATGTTTTGCATTGCTCTGTCCTATGTGAACAATTAACGGAAAGCAGATTATGCGTAGTTTCCGATAGATGTTACCGCAAACAACAGTAGTGACATCTGATGGTACATGAATCCAGAAGCTTGACAAAATGATTATTTGAGAGCAGTGTGGTGGCTTGATGTCCTTTTCGAAGAAATCAAACCTGTTATCTCGATACCACTGTAGAACTTCTACGCTGTAGTGGCAGCTTGTCAAATCAGACCATTGTGAGCCTTAATGTACGGAAGATTACGTTTTTTCTGGCACTCCTGCTTGTACATTTTGGAATCCATAGTCTTGTTTGTCACGAAAATCTGGGTTTTTTTGTCCGCAGCTGCAAATACCTTGTCAAATCATAAGCTTTCTTGCAAATTTACCGGCAAAACCAAATTTGAACTTGCTAGGGACATCACCTCGACCAGTGGCTTTATAGTCCATGAGCTGGCATCCTTCGTACTTTGTAAGAACCTCATTGTACAACTTCCTGGCACATCTTTTGGCCACTAGATTCTGCTTCAGTGTCCTTTTTGGTTACTTACTGGCCCGAAAAGATCGAAATCCTTCTCGCTAAAGAATCCTTCTGACGGTGCTTTGGCTGGCATTGAATTTCTTTTCGATATCATAGGCCCCAATTATGTAAGTCGAGTCGAGCGTCGAGTGTCGAGTAACTCGACACTCTCGTCGAGTAACTCGACACTCGACGCCGTCGAGTGTAGCAAAAATAGGCATTATGGAAGTCGACTGAATCAGATTGAATTGGCCATAAAACTCTAGCGTCATGTCATTTTTGACAGATAACGATCAATATTTTTAATGATTAATAATATTCAAGTTTGTTTTTGTTGTTCCGTTGAAGATTTTTTTGTAACAATATTGAAGTTCGTGTAATTTTTGTTATTAACGAAGTTGAGGTTTCATGCTAGATTTCAAGTATTTTAATGGCATTTAGCTTGTGGTTCAACTGTTAAACGCTGTCCAGACTTTTTTTTTTTATAACACGTTTATTTAGAACTCTTTTATCTTAACATCTAGAGACAGTTACAGCATAGATTAAAATCCAGTGCATCTATTGTAAAACTACTGTTGACATCTAAAACAAAGTTTACATAAACGATAAACATTTTTAGAGCCTCGTTTTTCGAATTTCTGTTCGCACTCTTAAATTCAGGTATCATAAACATTTGCAAGGTTACTCTTCGGTTTAAAATTTGCTCCAATTTTGAACGAAGATAATCCCACAGATGGCGTACACGCCTGCATGTAAAGAGCTTATGTTCAAGATCTTCGACCGCATTCTGGCAATGAGCACATATTTCACTATCCGTTCGATTCTGCCTGTAGAACATGGCCGCGTGCGGGATTTTGTTGTTTACCAATAGGTAATACGTTGACTTCTCTTCTGCTGATAGGGTTCTATGCCGTATGTTTCGCCAAACTTTAGCCCATTG